CATTTGAAAAAAATGTCAAGTAACTATGGAGGAACGGAAACAAACACACATTTTAAAAATTTCACGGCGTATAACAGTGTACTAATGAGTAAATGATTAAGAAAATGTGTACACGCACACGCGCACACGCATACATACACACATATAATATATATATATATATATATATGTTAGCTCTATCTCTGATATTGAGCGCTTTCTAATAAGTACCGCGCATATAATATATAAATAATTATACATATATATATTTATTTATATTTATATACACTTTTCACACACACACACATACATATATATATATATATATATATATATATATATATATATATATATATATATATAATTGGTTGTAGACTGGGGCAGGTATTGGCTGGTTAACTTAAAAAAAAAACTGCTCTCAATTACTCACCACAAGGAACCATCCTTGCCACCCATTAGAATGTCTGATGGTAAACTCCAGGAGAGCACCTCTTTGCGACCGCTTGGTCTGAAACTGTCCGCTGACCTGAGATGGAACTATTACTTTGAATCAATTGCTTAATCCATTGCAAGGAAAGTTGGTTCCCTGTGTCGTGCCAAAAAGTTTTTCTCGTCCGAGTCCGTCATTTAAATCTATAATCAATAATTTCGCTCTTGCCTGGAATACTGCTGCCATATATGGTCTGTTGTCCCAGCTGTTCGCTTTAATGTTCTCGACAAGATCCATAGACTGATATGCAATGTGGTTGGTCCTGATCTAGCATCTCGTTTACAGTCGATCTCTCACAGATATGCCGTCGCCTTCCTCTATGTTTTCTACAAATATTTTCGCGGTAACTGCTCCGACGAGCTACTTTCGCTAGTTCCCAGACTGCACGAAATTAAGCGTGCTACTAGGCTGGCATCACAGTCCCACCCTTTCAGTGTCAAAACGGTTAAATGTAGCCATCTCTTCAACTTCATGTGTCGCACTTGCCGTCCGTAGAATTCCTTTCTTATTAGTTGTTTCCCTGATAACTATGATCTCCAACTATTCAAAGGACAATCGACATCTCCAGATGTCCTTATCTATTCCCTGTCCGTCTCTTCATACTTTCCTCCATCACGCCTCTTTACTCTCGCTCCCACTATATAACTCCTATATATATCATGAATATACATTTCATTCCTTTTTTTTTTCTCCAACACTATGAACACTGTATATCCAAATGATGTGGAAACAGGAACAAAATTAGTATAGGATATTTATGTAGATTTAACTGTTATACGTACGTGTATATATATATATATATATATATATATATATATATATATATATATATATATATAATGATAAAGAGCTTAAACACTAATATTCCATGGAATATTAGTGTTTAAGCCTGTGGCACCTTGCATTATTAGAAATATTCATAGAAATATGATTTAATTTTTTTTTTTACTCGGTTTATTAAACAGGTTGTTGATTTTTTTTTAAACGGAAAATAATTGAGTTGAAAATAATTCACTAGAGTTGTACTTAGACGATCCTAAGGAAAGAAGAAGGAAGGGGAAAGAAAAGAGGAAGAAAGAAAAAAAAAAGGAAAGAGAGATGGATGATGCATGACCCGGTCATAAGCGAAGATAGGTGTCAGAAAGATATCTTGGCCTGCGTGTTGGCCGAATTTTAAAAGACAATAGAGAATTGTTATTTGAAATGAAAAATCCTTTAGAGGGAGAAAAGAACCAGGCTTGATGACAGTGTATTGAATTGATAAGAATATCGGTCAAAGCACCTAGCCTACTTTTTTTGCGTGGAGAGACTCATTGTCAAATTGGAGAAAGGGGAATTTCTTTTTCGAACAATAGAAACGAATTTTTTTTTTTAATCGGAGAAAAAGTGTCTTTTGGGTTGAGGGGAGGACCGGTGGAACGGTATCCAGATTCTGACCTATTAAGAATTGGAAACCCACGATAATAAAGTGGGGACACTTTCAATGTAGATAATTAAGATTTTCTGACTGTCGGGTCTGACAAAAACAAGAGGTGAAAAAAACGATTGTCTCAGCTCACAGATGGCGCCAATATTCTTTCCTGAAGTCACATCTAATTAGCGGCAGGCTGTTTTGACAGAGCCCAGGTGAGAAAAAGCCAAGATTGTCATTTTCGTACGTGCAAAAAAGGGCAAAATTAGATTTTGTTTTTTAAAACAAAAACGATGTAAGCCACGCCCGATTTGAGATGGAGGCGCCAAACCACAATCTCATTGGCCGAGGGCGGTCACGTGATATGCGGAAAGAAGAGGAAGAATGCTCGATCAGGAACCATTGGTAAAAAAAAACGGTCACCTGACATACGAGAAACCGGGAGAGATGGGTGTACGCCTCCCCACCAAAGGCACTGTGAGGAAGTAGGGGTGAAAACAATAGCGATAATGGGGAAACAGAATTAATGCGGCTATTGGAATTATCGAGAAACCCCTGACGCCAACAGACCCACCCCGGTTTGCTGCGGCGTCAATAAAAGCAGGACCCCAGTCGACAGAAATCAGTTGAGTTGAGAGTAGCGGCTGAGTTGCGGCAAGAAATCCTTCCACCCAAGTCGAAACAAGAAATCCTTCCACCCAAGTCGAAGACAAGAGAACTTCCAGCCCAAGTAGACGAAGAAGAAGATTACTCGAAAGCCGCAGAGAAGATCCAGCCCAAGTCGAAGACAAGAGAAGTGCTATCTAAGTCGACGAAGAAGAAGAAATACAACTCAAGTCGAAGAGAAGAATCAACTGCGAATGATCGATAGAAATTAGCCCCAGTGTCGAACCAAATCACACTCTGACATACACAATTCTAAAGAGTAGGCAATTCGAAATCTTTAGGTTGTGTGATAGAAGCTTGGTGCCATAGTCCACAAAGCGGGTCGGGAAATAAGAACAATTTTTCTTTATGTAACGGACATTAGATATAAAAGGTTGTCACCCTTTTTTATCAGTAACTTTTTGTCTCGTGAGTTTTTTTTCTTTTACTTGTGTTTTGCCACCCTGTCGGACTCAACTTGTATCGGCCCCAATCCCTGCTGGTCCCGTGTGTCTAAGATCTAAACACAGCGTGGGTAGACAGACCGGAGATCAGTACAGTTGCTTCAGTAACCAGGTATTGGAAGCGAGTTGGGAAAGGCGAGGCTGGTGATCATCTAACCAAGGGGTTGGAGGGCACGCTTGGAACCAGGAGGACCAGGACCAGGAGGAGCGACGTCACAGTTGGCGCCGTAACCAAGGGATTCGACCATGGGCCAGTGTAAACCGTCACAGCCTTTTTATTATATCCTTACTCTGTCCTAGACATTGAGTTCTACCTGGATTCTATCCTCTTGGAATTACTTTTTATACAAATATATAAGTATATGTATGTATGTATATTTATATATTTTAGATATATGATTGTATATGTATGTGTATATTTACCACTAATATTATCAATATATATATATATATATATATATATATATATATATATATATATATATATATATAAATGATATAACAATATATAACTTTGTATAATTTTATATATCAACAAACTTTATTTAGACAAATATAATAAATTGCAAAGTTTTTTGTGTTTTTGTGTTGCTCCCCCCTCGTTGTTGTGTTTTTTTTTTTCATTTTTTATTTTTGTGTTTAATATATCTTGTAATATTAAATTTTATACTTTTATTTCGATCATATATATATATATATATATATATATATATATATATATATATATATATATGTATATATCGGGTGTAACAGCAAAATTGTCCAATTATTACATTACGATTTGAACCATTGTATCTTTAAAAATGATTAAAGATATGTTACTGGAATTCCCCGGTTTTTTTTTTTATAACACTGTTGAACTCTACTTTAAACAATAAGAATGTATTTAGCTCTAAGTTGAAATGGCTATACCTCTTGCTGTTGTGACCACCTGATCTAGTTTTCCTCTTTACTGTTCCGTCTTTTTAAAACCTATTTACCTTTCATGATGGTTCTTGAATAGACTCAGATGAATGAAGCCAGTGTGTGAATTTGGTATCATTTCTGTAAGCCAGAATGATCTTTTCCTCTCACCATTGCCCAGTTGGGAAACACAGAGTGGAGCTGACGCAAAATGATTTTAACCTGTTCTCCTGCTAGCTGAATAACTTAAAGGGTTTTTCAGAGATTATTATAACAATTGGGCCAAGATGGGTGAACGTCGTGACTGAAATTCTGAGAGAAAGAAACTCAATTTGTTTAGTGGATTTTTAGCTATTAAACATTTTGTGGGATGAACAATTACGCTGTTATACGATTTGAACAATTTTGCTGTTATACGATTTGGACAATTTTGCTGTTATACGATTTGAACAATTACGCTGTTTACACTTTGGAAAATTTCGCTGTTATACGATTTGGATAATTTTGCTGTTATACAATTTGGATAATTTTGCTGTTATACGATTTGAACAATTATGATATTATACGATTTGGACAATTTTGCTGTAATACGATTTGGACATTTTTGTTGTTATACGATTTGAACAATTTTGCTGTTATACGATTTGAACAATTACGCTCTCTACAATTTGGACAATTTCGCTGTTATACGATTTGGACAATTTAGGATTTGTTATAAACTTCATTTTTGGATTTTGAACATTTTGCTTTTATACGATTTGAACAATTATGCTGTTATACGGTTTGGACAATTTTGCTATTATACGATTTGGACAATTTTGCTAATATACGATTTGGACAATTTTGCTGTTATAGGATTTGGACAATTTTGCTGTTCCATCTGGTACATCTCAGTTAATGCTGAAAAGAATTCATTTTCATTTTTTCAAAAATCGTCTTTACTATTATGACCCGTGTTCATTACATCTGAGATTTCACTCGATTGTCTCTTGAAATCTACAAAGATCAGTTGTCCTTGGGTTTTTTTTTCGTTTTGTTTTTGCTTACTGTCTTTTCAGATATGTGCTGTTTTTTGATATTCATTTGTCAGTTTTTATCATCCTTACTGATGTACAGCCTCTTCTCTTTTATGTGCCGTCGGCAATGTCTCTGTCAACAAAACCGATACGAAATTCTCAGCCCCTACTGCCCGTCATTTTCTTATCACGTCAACGTCACTTTTTTATATGTCGGGTTTCATAGATCGAATTTTATTTTTCTCGTTCTTTGATTTCCCGCTGTTTTCCTTCCCAGCCTCTGTTAAATCTTACTATGGTCACTGACACATCATTTAATTTTTTTTCTGTGTTGTCTTTAAAAATTCATTGTAATCGTGATATATTCTTTAATTCATTGTCCTCATATTTTTTTCTGTTACTTCAGATTTGCTTTTCATATTATTTGATGCTTCTCCTAAGCATTTTCTTCACTGACGTCATACAGGGTTCCGGTTGTAATACCTTCCACATTCTAATGGCTGCCAAAAATCCCAAAGTAACAGCTGTTAAAAATATATTAACACTGATCTTTATATAAAGGATTATAGTTTCTAATTATTAGGTTGGTGCAAAAATAATGACGTAATAATGTCGTTTTTTGACGTATTTTTTAACGTCAAACGTCATTATTTTTGCACCAACCTAATATTTAGATTTACAAACGATATCTTCCAAATGATGGCATCTATTTGCTATATATTTTTGTAGACGATTTCTAAAGTTCTGCGTCACTCGGAAGTTGGAATGTGTTGTAGAGTAGTTTTCACCGTGGAGGCTTGTATTTCGCTAAGTCGGTCCTAAAAGGGTCCGACGTACAAAACGTTAGGAACTTGAAAAAAAAGACGCAGCAAATCTAGTTGTGATGGATGATATTCAATGTCCAACAGTCTCACTCAACACCACGTAATACTACTACTTATTTTTATGTGCGGGAGAGTCTATTTAATAGAATAGGTACGTCAGGTATAACAGAATGTTTCGAGGTTTTTCCTGTTGGCTTTCTTTTAAGCGCTAAACATGTGGCTCTGACATTTTCAACCTATAGAAGAATCGATTTTCTATCCGAAACGGCATCGTTTTGATTTAACATGAAATGTGCACAAAATGTTCCGTGTTGCAATATCAGATTCACCAGTCTAAAAACAAAAATGTTTCAACAACAAACGCACGGTTTGCATCAGTTCAAGCCATGATGGTAACTGCTGGCATCTGATAAATAAGGTAAATATTCTTTGTTATTTGATATTTGGTGCTTTCTTGAATTGGACAACTACCATTTCTCATCAGAGTTAATTTTAACAATAGTCTCATGTCGACCGAAAGCAGTGCGAACGAATGGCTTGTCGAGTGTTTTGTTTTGGGTTTTTTACGGTTAATCAACCCTTTCAATGTTATTTAAATCCATAACATATTTTGAATTGTAAGAATAGTCCTTTTGGGGTGTGTGAGTATTGCATTAACATTTTTTCAAGAATAACGATGAGTTTTTTTTTGCGATACAAATCTTCTATTTAGGCCATTATTTGTAGTGAGGAGATGGTTTCATACCTTTTCCAAGGGTATTTACGCGTAACCTAATTCAAGGAAGTCGATTGAAATTCAAATACGAGTCTCTGATTTCTCATTCTGAGCCGAATGAGTGGAAATTACGAGAGGAAAATTGCACTGCATACACCTTTCAAGTAGCTAAGGACTGTTTGCATAGGAAATAAACATTTCATTTCTTGGCTTTAGCCTTGTCTCTACAGTCATTAAAAAAGTGGGTTTGTACGTGTCGACATAGGCCATATTGGCGTCGCTGATTCGGCGTCAGAAATATAATTGTACTATTTGACACAACCGTTTATGCGTCAGACTGTTTCGCCATCACTGACTTTGGAAGCAAACCTAAAAATAGGATAAAATCATTGAAAACACCCGACATTCAATATGACTTTTTATTCATTTACGGAATTAAGGATCCTATTAAAACACTAATGGAATAATGTAAATTAAAAACTTAAATTAAGAATATTGTATTTCAATAAATTTTTTTAAAATTAGTAAAACTATTTAATCTTAGAAATTACTTCTTCATTTCGTAATTATGAGTAACACCCTTGAGGAATTTAATAGGTTCTAATGATTCAACTTCCATTACGACTTTTTTTGATTCGTCCGTCAGTATCTCTATATATATCCATAAAAAGGTATCCATTGTGTATCACTTTGTTTCTTCTACGTTTTGATAAAATATTTGCTTCCATTTTGGAATAAAAGGGGCATTGATGACTGAAAAATATGAAGCTGCACTGCAGGAAATATAAAATAAAAATGCCTCCAACTACTCCTTTTCTTAAATGTAAAAATGCCTCCACCTACTCATTTCTTAAATATAAACATGCCTCCACCTACTCTTTTTCTTAAATTGGACGAAGTACTAATTTGACTATTAAAATAGAGAGAGGGTGTGTGAGAGAGAGAGAGAGAGAGACCAAATTTCACTAAAACGACGAAGGAGTAATCTGATGCCGAATCGTTCCACTGCCGAGAAATTCCTATGTCGAATTAGCGAGGCCAAATACGCTACGCCGGAACGTTTCATTCCCTTTCCGAGGGTATTTGCGCTCAAATGAATGCATGGAACTTAACTGAAATTCGAAAACGACTCTTCGATTTCCCATTCTGAGACAAATAAGTGGAAATTACGAGAGGAAAATTGCACTGAATGATAATTTAAAGTAATGAAGGACTGTTTGCATAGGAATCAAACATTGCAATTCTTGAATTTACCTTTGGCACGAGGGTCGATTAAAAAGTAATAATTCTTCTTTATTGATAAAAATAAATAAAACAGAACGTCTGTTTCACATACGAGTATCAAATAAAATGATGTTCGAAGTAATAAAAATGTCGAATGAAAAATAAATCCAAGAAATAATGAATCTAAGAAAAGTTTAAAATCTTAGGACAGCATTCAAGATACACTGCTCATCAGGGTTGGAATTTTTCCTCATATCAACTATTGTTCCTTCTGTCTATCTTTCTTTCATTCTTTTTCTCCTTCCCTTATTGTTTTTCATACTTATCTATTTTTCTTTGCCTTTTCTTTCATATCCTAATTGTCTTTTCCTTTTGATTTTACTTTTTCTTTGTATTTCTTAATTCCCTTGTGTCTCTTTAATTCTTTCTCTCTTTCTTCATTTCTGATACTTAACTTTTTTTCTTCTATTTCTTTTTCGTTATTGCTTCTTTTCGTTCGTTTCTTTCTTGTCATTTTTTCTTATTTTCCTCGTCTTTTTAGCTATTTTGTATTTTCTTATTTTAGTATTCGTTCGTTTTCTTTTTCCTTATTTTCGTCTTTGTTGTGGATTCCGGGATGAAATCCGGTCTCAAATGAATGACAAACGCAGGAATGAAATATAGCAAATAAATGTATTGACTCAATAATACAATTGGTAATACGGTTAGTAGATCCAGAAATGCGGTTAGTAGCAATAATAATACAGTCTGGGAAATTCAGTATCGAAGTAGGACTTACTTCTGAGTCTACGTGCTCGCAACTGTGACTCCTACAAAGCGGTTACCTCACACTCTCACTGTATCAGTGTATAAGTGTATCTCTCTGACTGTCACTCTATCTGAGTACCTCTCTCTAACTTCCGGGTATTCACCGGCAGCAATACAAGTACACACTGGTCGAGTCCACTTGTATGAAAAAGGGGTGGACCCCATAACAATCTTCTTTCTTTTTTGCTTTATTTATAATTTTCTTACTCTCCTTTTTTCTTTCCTTCTTTTTTACTTTTGGGTAACTTTTCGTTTTCTTCTAATTTTCTTAATTTCCTCTTAGCTTTTTACTTCGTTCTTTTCTTTCTTTTCTTTATAACTTTCCTTTCCTGCTTTATTTCTTTATTTCATTCTTTTTTTTTCCTCTTACTTTCTTCTTTTTCATCTTTCTTACTTTACTCTTCTTTCTTTTTAAATTCAATTACCCCCACTTTCTTTTCTCGTTTCTGTCTTTCTCTAGTCCCGTTCTCCTTTTCACCATCCATCCACCATCTTTTTTTCTAAAAGCTCTAATGTTCTCCGTTTATGTTTGATCCATATGGAAGCAACACCCAAATCCCATCATCACCGCAAACCCTACAACCCCCCCACCAAACCTCAACTGTCAAACCCGTCTAAGAAACATCTTGGCACGAGTCTACCTGTTTCAACTCAAATTGCTTCCAAATGTCTGAGTGATTGGACAAGATTGCCGTTCTGCAACGACAGTCCTACTCCCATTTACGATAAAAGGACACTGACAACTGACACAAAATCTCGCCTCTTCCAGACACCATGGCTTTCAGTCGCCTAGTGGCTTGTGTTTATGCAATTATAGGCCGCCCGAAAATGAAGACGAGAAAAGGTAATGAAATAATCGTAAACTTGCGTGTTTGAAATAAAATACCGCGTTGAATCCCAAAATATTACACAAAATCCGCTCTTCCCAAACTCACCTTCCAGTCATCGAGCGTCTAGAAAACATATGTATGTATGATTTTTTTCTTCTTCTATGTGCTGTGTCCATTCGTGAGGTAGGTGATCATGGCGCGCCACCACTTCCTGTATCTTAATAAATTTCATCTTTTTGCTATCTTTCCTAAATCCTGTTCTCCCATTCATTTACCCAAGCTCGTTAGGTAAGTTATGCATTTGTTTTCGTCTGACCTGTGAGTCTCAGTTTTGTCAAGCCGTCTTTCCTCATCATGTACTCTAGAAAGTTTAGCTGTCTCGTTCTGATGCTAATTATAAGTGTCGCTTTTGTTTTTTTTTTTTCTCTCTAAAACTTCCATTTTGCTCACGTGTTCGATCCATGACCGAAAACGATTTTAACTGCCTATATTCGCGGAGGAGATTTCGTTCTGATGGGTTGAACATCTCGGTGTTCACGAAATAAAAATTGGAAACGAAATCGATAATTCAAGTCTCCGTCTTCTTATTATCATTAAAATGCTCTGTAGTTTACATTGAGCTCTCCCTGGATTTATATCCTCCTCCCTTCGTCACAAACTGGTAAAACACACACACGCACACACACACACACACTCACACACACACACATATATATATATATATATATATATATATATATATGAGAACGAATATAATATATAAATTCCAACGTTCACAGCATTAATCTAAAAGAGGGCTCGATACTGATAGTAGAGCGATAATTATTCCTTTATTATAATTTTATCGTATAGACAAAACCATTTTACTCACTACAAAGATGCAACTTGCACTTCGGCGGGTGAGAATCGAAAATGGTTATGAACAATCTTGCTTGTAGGCAAGCCGTGTGTGAAACGTCACTTCCTTTTTTCCATTTGTTTGAGAAGAAAAAATATAGGTGAGGAGTGAAACAATATATATATATATATATATATATATATATATATATATATATATATATATATGCAACATTGGTGGAATTGAGACTATCCTGGTGCAGTGAAAACTTTGCTGGTCTACTCATGTTGCAAGCATTAGTGACAACAGAATACCTAACATCCTCATGCATATCCGGCATGACAGTGGGGAAAGGACACTTAGTAGGACATCCGTGGCTCAGGTATCTTTATTCAAGCCAAAGAGTAACCTCTAAGCTGTGAATTGCCTCGTACTAACTTCGAACAGGTCAACCTGGATAGAAATAAAAGGGAGATATTTGTGTCAGAATCGTATCAGTAATTAAGAAGTGACTCGTATTGGCCGACTAAGAGACGAAAGACAACGACGAAAAGCGTCAACAACTATTGCCTATATCCCGAGATACTCGCTACTGCACAATATACGGACTTGTATACAGATTACTCGTGAGTCTGAAGTCACACATACGACATGATCATATAAACTGAATGAGGTTGTCGGATATATATATACACCATGCTGTCATCTGTCTCTAGTTCCTTCTGCATATATATAGGTGTGTATATATATATATATATATATATATATATTCCCCCCCATTTCCTCTATTGTACATTTTTCTGTATTAATTTTGAATCTCCCGTTGACGCCTGAAGAGCGGGAGCGAAACCGCTTGCTTCCCCACTTGTTGTTGTTGTTTTTTTTTTTAAAATATGTCTTGTAATATTAAATTTTATACTTTTATTTCGATTATATATATATATATATATATATATATATATATATATATATATATATATATATATATATATATATATATATATGGGTGTATATAATGAATTTATGGCAGTATATTCACGTAGCAAAATTAGTTATGTGCCATGCGTGATACACGCTTAGGCGATCATATATATTTCGATACATGACTGACGAGTCAGATTTTTTTCCGCACTAGGTTGCCATTTCTTTTTGCGGTAAACCGCTTGCCATCCAAGGCTATAAAACCCTGTCCTGCAATTTAACCATAACTGGAGAGGGAGAGAATAGGATTAATGCTTTTCCCAAGGGTATTATCACATAAATGAATGTAACGGATTCCACTGGAATTTGAACTCGGCTCTCAATTCCTCAATCCGAGCCGCTATCCATTATTCTACCGTGCCTCCATCGTAGCAAAATACCGTTCCTGAATTTATTAGCTCGTGGCCCTATTTTTCAACAGAATATCTTTACTTAAATATCACTATTTATTTACATTATTCGTGCCATTGTCTTCATCTTTGTTGCCATATTTATCACAACGTTTTTGGTCGTTGTTATCTCCGGCCTTCTTCGTTTGGTTTGAATGTCGAACAGAACCCTTTATTTCGCTCGCTTATGTGTGCCATGTCTAATGGATGTCAGTTATCTCCTGTTAATTCCCCTCTCCAAGTTCTCCACCGCCTTAACAAGGTATTGAACTCACACTCTTTGGGTCCTATCACTGGATTTAACTAACGCCTTTATCCACTGTGCTATGTGTCCTCAAGGACATCCATTAGACATGGCACGTGGAACTAGAACAGTCTACTCTAGCGAGCGAAATAAATGGTTCCGTTCGACAATCCATCGACCTGAAGAAGTCCGGAGAGTACAATGGCCGAAACATTGGGATAAATTTGGCAACAAAGATGAGGACAGCAGTCCGAATAATGTAAATAGTTTGCATACTACATCATCCCAGTAATATAGACAGACACTATTTATTTATTTTTTGTGTATTTATATATTTTATTGGATGTACAGGCGATGTAATGGTTTCTCATTTCCGGAGAGATATCGACGTGTAATCTTATTCTCGAATGACATGTCAGACAAAGTAGAAGGCGCAACAATCGAAAATGGTGTAACAGAAACAAGAATGAAATTAATAATCTCTATCTATAAAAGGCAGGATGTGTGTGTGTGTGTGTGTGTGTGTGTGTGTAACGAATGAACAGCCGCAATTTTCGCACCAAAATTTACATGCACATGCTCCAAGTTAGCAGAAAGGGCAACACAGACTTTGCATTACCCAACTCCCATCGATAGTGGAATTAATTGATTTTTGCATGCGTCTACAGCAGTTTTCATGTAGTTTGCGGCCATTTTCTACTGGCCAGAGTGAGAGCCTATAGCTGGCTGCCACGAATAGGCAGGAAGATTCTATTGCCCAGCGTGAGAGCCAACAGCTGACTGACACGAATGTTAACTAGCATGCTAGCATCCAAAAAAAATCGATAGCTGCATTCATCACAAGTGGCAAAAATTTTAATCTGCATGGCACTTAAATCCACTTGGCTCATTCGCTTGCTTAAATTCAACGTTGATTCTGATTCCGTAGAACTGGGTTTGGTATGAAAAAGTATTTGTTGTTAACATTCTTTTTCATTCGTTTTTTCCAGTTACGAGTCTTTTTTTAAAGCTGATCGTTTTTTGTTCATTTTGTTTAGTTCTTTTTTCGTAACAGAGTTAATGTTTAGTATAGAGCTTAGAAAAAATTCGCAGTGTGAGATAGGCAAGAAGTAAGGCATGTAGCAACATCAGCACGTCAAAGGGAACTCCTTTAAAGGCAAGGAAGGGCAAAAATATTTTAAGTCAATTGATAGCGATTGCTGTATGTGTCGTACGATTTTTGAATCAAGCACGGGCAACGCCGGGCCATGCTGCTCGTGTCTGGATAATTTCTGGGATCGAGAAGAAATAAATGTTTAATCCAGCAGACAATAGAGACAAATCATTTAATTTAATCGAACGTTCCCACCAGTCCGCTGAAGGATTGGCCTTAGATAAGAGAAAATGAGAAAAATAACGAATTGCGAGTTAGAATAATCGAATATATTCTCTCTACATTTTACGCCATGTCGCAATGTCGTTTTTAAAATTATATTATGTGAACAATGGCTTCCCTCGAATACATAAGAAACGACAATGGATTAAAGTCTCTGAAAATTTCGGATGAATACAATCAAGTTGGAGACATTGACTTAAATAATGTGGGAATATTTTCCAGTGTAAATAACTATTTAGTGGCTTAGTCCACGTATTGAGAAAGAGAAGTAGGTAGCGAGAAGGAAAAAAATATTACTTTTAATTTTAGATGAAAACACGGCTATACAGCAACTCACTCTATATGAATTTTTTTTATTAATGTCAAGTTTGGCATTAAGACTATTAGATATCTAACCAGCAATTATATAGCTTGCACATTTTTAATACATTTTTCCATCAATTAATTTTTATTTACTATCCTTTGTTACGAGACTATATAATCGAATATTCAAAATGAAACAACAATTACTTTGAACTGATACTCTTTTAGTTACCATCATATACAGGAAATAAAGATATTGCTTTTTACAATAAGGTTAACGCTGTATAAAACCCAAGAGCCACTCAATGTAGAGGGTTACGAAGTCAGAGATAAGATGCACGTATGTGTATATTAGTGGAGGCCGATTTTGGAAATCTGGTATTGCACGCAACCTGAAAGTTGAGGTTTGATGTATAAGGAGACAATATATATTTTTTATTTCAAATAGATATCGTTTTTTGAGGAATGAGTTTAAAAATTAAGTTTAGTTTCAAAATCGTAGCG